GCCCCACAGGCTCTCAGTTCCAGGCTGTAGCTGCAACACAACAGCTCCTGAACAGGATAAGGCTCCTCCACAGTTGTCCCAAAATAGAGAGCCCTCTCTACCAACATGCCTAGACAAGCCCCACTTCCCCTTTTTTTCTCAAGGGCTCATGGGAGTTGTAGTCTCTACGGCTAAATTGCAGCACACCGGATCCTCCCAGAAAAAGTCAGGGGCACCTTTCGTAAGGGGACTACACATGCAACAGCAGTTTGATTAAAGCGATGGTTGTATGTTGGCATATTTTGCATAGACAAAACTCTATAGTATAGACAAGGCCTTAGAGTATATCTTCATTGAAAAAAGAAATGCAGGAGCAAGTCTCAGATGCCAGGTCTACAGACCTAGGCTCTCGGGGCTCCCTCTATGGTGCTAAAAATAGCCATGTGGAAGTTCTGGCTCAAGCTGGGGCTTGGGCTGTGAAGGCAGGGAGGAGCAGAATAGTGCTTCCAAACCTGAATTCCTGCCTGAGCTAGGGTGGCTGCATGGTTATTTCAGTGCCATAGTGCAGCCTCGGTCTGTAGACCTGGGCTCACTTTTGTTGCCGTGGGGTTTTGGACATTTTTTTTTGGTTATGCAGACATACCCCTAGTTAGCAGCTATTCAATATTTTGTTTTCTTCTGATTCAGTGTGTCTGTGGACTTTATTTACTACACACTATACATACCCTGTTCTGGTGAGAGAATGATTAAATTCCTCATGGCACTTGCCATTGTAGTATCCAACAAAGTCCTAGCCCTTGCCCTTTCTACATTCACATCAGGCAGCTTCTTCCTCCACTAGTCACTGGTAGCAGATGAGACAAACTGCCTGCACCAGGATCCAACACCCCTGCAGCAGCCTAGCACAGTGTTTCTTAAACTGTGTGCTGTGGTACACCTGTGTGCTGTGAGAAAGTCAAAGGTATATTGTGCCCTCTTTTAACTTTTTTTTCCTAGTGGAGATGGAAGCTCAGTTGGGATACACGCGCTTTTGTTGTTGTTGTTTTGTTTTTGGGGGTTTTTTTGTTAATAACTTTTCCCCGGTGTTCCACATAAAAAAATTGATTGTTTGGTGTTCTGCAGTCTTGAAAAGTTTAAGAAATACTGGCCTAGAGCATCAGTTGTGAAGGAAGTCCTGGTGAGCCTCAGATAGGAGTATGCTCAGAGCAGACAATCTTTAGCAGTTAAATTTAAGAAGTATCTTCTGAATATTCACAATTTCCAAAGATTTGTAACTTGGCCAAATGTTGGCACATTTCCTTGGAGATGGAAGAACATGTCCTTACATTGAGGCAACCTACCAGGATTCAAATCTCAGCTCCAACAGCTGGAGGGTGCTAGAGCATCTCAAAAAAGAGATCTCCAGCATCTTTCAACATGGTCAAAACAAGTTATTTTCCTCTAGTCTTGCTGTCAGACACAGTTGAACTTTTTAGGATGAAATTTCTCCAGAATAATTCAGCCTGTGGCAGACATCCAGCATGAAAAATATTCTGCCCAAATGGTTGTAGTGTGGCAAAGTTCTAAACAACTGAAAATAGGCTTACCTGTGGTGAGTGCAGGGTGGGGGAGAGGAGGAGGGAAGCGGGAGGGCACTCCCTGCTCTCTCCCCAAGCAATGGTAACCTCCTGGCTAACATTGCTAGAGAAGGGGGCTTCAAAAAAGGGGGCCAATCAGAGGCAGGAAGGGTCTGGCCAGTGGCAGGGGTTGTAGCCCTGGGCCCCACATCTGGGGGTCACTCTGAGGAGAAGAATCAAATACATTGAACGGCTTAACATTTTTTTTGAAGTTTAACTAGTTTGATTTTCAGCCATGTTGCAAAATGAGGTTTTTATTTCAGACTACATTATGCACAATTTAGCTGTAAAGCATCAGAGACATATGGGCAGTTTCAGAGAGTGGCCGAAATCGAGCTCCTGTGTTTGTGTGTTCTCAAGCAAGTTTGCATAACTGGCACAATTACATTGGGGTATATTAAGGTACAGCAGAGGCTTACCTTCTCTTCATGGTAATACTTGTGGATAGAGTCGCAGCTGTTCTTTTCATGATATTGCAGCTTAATTCTCAGGCCCAATCCCCAAAGACCTCCTTTTCTGGGACAAACAAAATTCCAAATCTTCATCTGTTTGCATGGTGCTCTATCTCCACACCCCTGGGCCCACAAGGAATCTTACGGTGCGATTTTTTTTCCAGCCCTTTCTGGAGATCTACAGGGAGCTCCTGCCGGGGTGCCATTTCAGATTTTGGTGAGGGAGGCACCTGGTAGAGGGGACAAACTGAGGGCATGGAGGGGCAGACTTTGGGCAGTGGCTTCAACAGTGTGGTTGTTTAGCAAAATCACCAGCTTTTACAGAAGAGAACATGTTAACATGTTTGTACTGGTCTGCTAAGGTTAAATGGAAACATCTGTTTGGCAGTTTTACACAGCACTGGAATTTGAAATAAAAATAGAGAACAAGAATTTATAATTTATGATTTCCTTTTTCTTAAAAAGAATAAAAAATAGGTTGACTTTATTTTGTACAAGTATGAAGAGCTAAGGAGACACATTCTCTGAGGAAAAATGAAAGTTTGGACTTCCATCATTATTCCTTTACAGTAGTTTAACTTAAAATAATGAATCAGGGCTGTTTTAAAATCTGTTATTAGACTTCTGTGGACTTCCATCATTATTCCTTTACAGTACTTGAACTTAAAGTAATGAATCAGGGCTGTTTTCAAATCTGTTATTAGACTTCTGCAGATGAAAATCATGATAAGTGTCTTCCACAGTCTTTGCAGGTTATTACTTTGTGATTGCATCAAGCCTCTAAAAACCCAGCAATAGTATTGAGCCAGTACATGCATATCCTTGGTGTTCTGGAAATGTGGTCTTTCTATAAATTATTCAAGAAATGTAGATGATTTTATTTGTATCTGTATACAGACATTAAGTCCAAAATAATGTTTTAGACATAGTAAGGTACAGAATTATTACTCAAAACCCTTTCACTTCAGTGGACCTCACTTAAACTTACCAGTCTAAGTAGGAACTTCTAAAGCTAAAGCTTCTCCTTTTCCATATTCCCTTTTACCCCAAATTACCAGATCTTGTTCTGTTTTGTCACTGGATAGCTCAGATCTGTCACTGTGTAAAATACAAAACTCCTTCCTGTATGGCCCTACTTGATCAATTCCTTTTTAGCTGTACCTTCCCAAACTTCAGTTTTCATTATAACCAGCTTTGGCTACTGCTAGACTCCTTTACCATAAGCCATATCTAGAGTAGAGTCATTCTCTTTTCACTTCATCTCAACACTGCTCATCTGTCTCTGTCAGAGGTGATCTTTCCAATTTACATAATCTTTTCTACTGCTTGTGAACATGTTATTTATTTAGAGAAAGTTTCTACTCTTCATATCAACATAAATCTCAATCTTAAAATGTGCCCTGGTGTGACAGAAGGAATTGAAATATGGCAAGTGTCCAAAGTGGATAGCAGCTGTGCTTTGTTGCTTATCATGCTGTGTTTCACAGTTTACAACATTTTAAAACTATACCTTGTTTTTAGGGATCTTTTCTAAATATGTTAATTAAATAAGCCAAGTTAGAAAGAAAATTTGAAAAACAGAAACTCCCTCTTACAACAATCCTACATAGCCCAAGGATTAGCAACAGAATTTGAAGCTCCAGATTTTCTGCACACACTTCTACCCTGGTGTTAAAGTTTGTTATGCCCAGTGAACAAAAGGGGGAAATAGCACACTTTGCAGCAGGGGTGCTGGGACAAGCTGTATATTGAGGTGCCAAGAATCACTGAACAAAACTGTAAAGCCTGAGTATAATGGAAGCTGACTCAAGCCATGAGGGTGGGGGGTGTCAGCTTCCCCAGCACACCTAGTTCCAGCACCTATGCTTTACAGGAAGGGTGGAGAACCTAAGACCCGGGGGCTGGATGCAGCCCTCCCCTTGCTTGGATCCAGCCTCCGAGGCTCAGGGCTCTCCCCTCAGCAGTGGGGAGCCCGCATTGGCGCGACACACCTCCCCTCTCCCCGTTGCCCTCCACGGAGTTGGAGCACACAAAATCTACTAGCCTGGAAAAGCACAAACAGGACTTGAGGTCTAGTAGTTATGGACAGGATGGCTAAGTATATTGATTTTGTCATTTATTCTGAAGGACAGTGTGGCTGCATGAAGGAAACTTGGGTTCTTTCTTCAGGTCAGCAAGGAGTGATCTAGTGCAAATTCAATAAAAGTACTTGTAAAATGGCAGTGGGCAAGGAGAGAGAATTATATTCCTAGCTTGGGGCATTACTCATCAATAAGGCTTTTGAAATACACAGAAATGTAAGCAGTAGAAGATGTGAGCTAAGAACTCTTGGTCTCCTGGTTCAGTGCATTGTCCCCCTGAATCAAAGATTGTACAGAAATCTCTTTCTTTCTCTTCCCCACAAAAAATTGTCTGGCTCTGGAGAACTGTTCAACCTGGAGGCTGATTTTCCTTAAAAAAAAATCAGACCATACAACATAAACGAAGAAGTTGAGGCTGGCATGTCATGTTCTTAGTACTGTCAGCCTCCAGCACTAGAACATTGTGAGTCAAACTCCAAGTAGTCATGAGAGTAATAAGACCATCATGAGGTTTACAAAAATGTGGTTGGCCTCCTGGTTGCTGAGGCTTTAGGGTGCACTCACTTCATGTTTTCAAGCTCTTCTCTGCAAAACAACCTTGTCTAGGAAAATACTTGGGGAAAAAAAAGAAAAAACATCCTGAGTTTTCCAGGAATTTTCCAATTCCAGAAGCAGAGGCTGTAGAAAACAACCAACCAACCAAACTCCACAAGTATTATGAGACTTACAATTAAATCACAAGAGCTGGCAACACTGTGGTCTATTGTCTCCCAAACACACACATACAAAAGTCTTCATATAATATATATTTGTCAGCAGATCGTATGTCAGTGTTATGCACATTTGATTGCTAATTTGTTTTTTGTATTCAGGGTAACCCAGGACCAACAGGACTACCCGGGCTACCTGGACCAAAGGGAGATGGCTATCCAGGTGCACCAGTATGTGTTGTTCTATGTAACGTCTTACTGGTAATTAGATACTGTACTTGTTGGTGTGCCACATAACATGAATAATTTCATGTTTAACAATAGCTATGTGGTTATGAGTTACAGTGAGTTTGCTGCCTTGAAGTGCCCAATTAGGTTTCTCTGTCATCTGAAGTAACAGGAGCATTTTGTTTACATTTGAAGACTTCTAATTTCTCAGCTCCTTCGTTTATTTAAAAAAACCCACTTCCCTGTCATAATCCTGCAAATAATTACCCCGGGGAGAATAGTGGCCACCCTGGGATTGCAGTTGAGGCAGTGGACTGTGGCTGCTCCAGCTGGCTGGTTGGAGTCCACTGCCAGGGGGCAGGTCTGACAATGAGAAGGGGAAAAGGGGGCAGTGCCCTGGGGAGCAGCAGTGGCTGGGGAGCCCTGGGCCTTTAAATTGCCTTTGGAGCACTGCATGGCATGCTCCAGGTGCCTTTGAGGGCAGATTGGAGTGTGTGTGTGGGGGGGGGGGGATGTGGTGTGCTGCAGGCAGCACTGAGGGTTGGCTGCCTCCAGTCCTACCCCTTCCACCAGTAATGAGGCCCAACCCATTACTGGAGCACAGGGCCAAGCAGCTCCCCCCATTCCCACACTCACACACCTTGCCCATGAGCTCTGGAAGTCTTTTGGCCCACCAGCTTGGGGCTATTGGAGCTCTAGCCATCCTGCTGGGAGATATCACAGGTGTGGCTGTGGCCTCTGAACCATTTGACTGGGGTCAGCCACACTGGACCATGCAGGAGTCATGGAGTCACTAAGTCCCAGTATCTTGATTTGCACAACCTGCATGACAGACATGGAGCTCTACTCATGACTTTCCCTGCTCATCCTTTTCACACTCATATTCATCCTCTCATAGTTCAATGAAACTATATCTTTCCACACCTAAAAACTCACTCTCACCTCTTCTCCTCTCCACAACCACCTCTCCAGTTACCTCACTCCATCTCCCTTTCCCTAGTCACCTTTAAATGTATCAATCACACCATTTATAACCATTCCTCTCCTTCACCATGGAGCCCCTTCATGCAACTCAAACTGCACCAACATCTCTAACAACCTCAGCTTGGCCAAATAGCAAGGCCTGTACTATAGCCCATACTCTTGGATTTCTTAGCTGTTTTTGACACCAAGAGTCATACCCTTGCCCTTCTTGGGATTTTGTGAGGGTTGAGTCTACTATCAAGGTTTTTAAGGGAAACTCTTCAGTACAAGTAAATTAAGATTCAGACAAAAATATCCAACAGCAAAAAAGTAGCAATTTGGAGCTAGGGATAAAACTCCATTCTTTGTGTCTTATGGTTTGGGAAACTACTCACTTTATTTCTCTGGTGTTATGCTAGGGACCTCCAGGACTGCCAGGCTCCCCAGGACCAAGAGGCCCTAAAGGCTTCGGAGATCCTGGACAAAAGGTACCAGCACAATAGTAATGCATACAATAAAAATACCAGCTATCTTCAAAGTATGAGTCCAGCAAACCTGAGATGCATGACACATATGATGAAATGGTGCTTTGTGTCACTGTTATGTTTATAAGCACACAGGCTCTTTATAGAGGGAAAGGCAATATGCTGCTTTTATTAAGAATACAATAGTAAAGCAGCTAGCGTGCGCACACACACACACACACAGTTCCACCAAACAGAATACAATAGTAAAGCAGCTAGCGTGTGCGCGCGTGCGCACACACACACACACACACACACACAGTCCCACCAAATGATGTTATATTTACCAGTTTGTGTTTCTCTGGTGGCCAACCAGATTGATTACAGATAGGAGTAGGGTTCACCGATGCTCCAGTGATAGCAGGACGGGACCCAAAAATTATGGCAAAGCAGCTTTTCTTAATAGTATTTTTTTTCCATTGGAATCTGTAAATTTTGCACTGTCATGCTATAATTAATTGCAGTTTGACAAGTACTTATTTTTTTAAGTTGTTCTACTTATATTCCAGCTATCTTGTTCCAATTGATAGGTGCTTGCCTTATCTTTTAGAGTTGTCAATTTTCCCTTTATCTGCATCTCAATAGTGGTATATAGAAATCTTCTGGTGCTTTTACGTCTGTATTTGGCTCTCCCTAAAACATTTGGTTCAGTGATGGCCTTAACACTTATCTTCTAACACACATTTCTCATTCACACACATGAAACAGAATTGATTTCTTTATTACACAACACTTATCTTCTAACACACATTTCTCATTCACATACATGAAACAGAATTGATTTATTACACAGACACAATATGAATATTTAAGCAGGAACATTAAATTACAATTTAAGCAAAACAACCATTATACCCTTTTACTTATTTTACAATACTAATTTTAAAACTTAAAACAAAAACCTTAAAAATCTATTTCTGCCCTGAATCAGCTTCACACACAAAATTCTGTCTGGTACGCCTTTACCAACACACTAGGCTGTTCCTTTCTGCTAGTCAGAAAGGATGGCTGGTAAGGTACACTGAAGCATATTACATTACATAAAGCTACATTTTAGCTACATGGCTACATCACTGTCAGATGTTGATTGTAACATCTCAGGCACAGTGAAAGCCCTGTCTTGTTTTATATACCCAAGCCCCACAGAGAATTGTCATAAATCTACAGGGCTTCACCTCTGAGTGTTGGAATTTTCAGTTAGAATGCAGATTTAGCTGCAGAAGCTCATGCAGGCAGAAAGCTGTCTAGTGACTATGTCTCTGCAGAGAATCACATGCATTGCCTGTTCCAGAAAATACACAACGTATCTTGTACTGATGCGAAGCTTACTTACATTTTTGACAAGAATATGCAAATGTTTGAAGAGAAGGGATGAAACTCTCAGATTTGGGGAAATCATGCGCCATATGGGGGGTGCCATATTTATTTTGTTTCTCTCCACTCCCATCAACTTTCTCCCTCCTGTCATCTATTTCCTATTTGAAACCTGCAAATAATTAAACACTGGCCCATGGGAAACTATACAGCAGTTTCTCTTCATTCTCTTTCCTCCAGATTTGTTTTTAAGTGTAGCAGTTGCACTGCATCTCTGTGGTCCAGCTATCAAACGGCCTCGACCATTAAAATAAATTAGGTGACACATATTATGAAAACAAATTGGAAGCATTTCAACTCTACGCTTCTAATCATGTATCATATTTAGTTTCTACCAGGTGCAATGCCTTTCAGCCACTGAGAATCTTTGAAATGTTTTAATATGCAGCTAAGATGCCTTTCAGCCACTGAGAATCTTTGAAATGTTTTCTTAATATGCAGCTAAATCCACTTAAAAATTTCTAAAAATCTCATTAATTCTATATTCACTAATTCTATATTCTCTATATTCACTATTCGTTCCTGGGAGTCATAGAAATGAGAGCACATGGTTTCCCTTCATTTCTAGATTTTTTTAGGAGACAGGAGAGACAACTGGTATTTTAAGACAAACTTTTCCAAATATCCTAAGCTTTTCCAAATATTTTACACTTTCACAGTGTTGAATCTCATAACATATTTAGTTTAAGCTATCAAGCTACAACAGCCATTCCCAAACTGTGGGTCTGGATCACTCAGAGGGTTGTAAGTTTATTATGTGTGTCAGGGAGGGGAGGGGTTAATTTGTAAGTGGAGTAACACTCAGAGGCTTGCTATGTGAAAGGAGTCACCAGTACAAAAGTTTGAGAACCACTGAAACATTGTGGGTGGAGATTGTCTTTCACTTGCAGGCAACCCATTAAAATCTGGCCCAGATGTATGGAAACCAAAAATCATCAACTGGAAATGGTTTGATACTTTTTCATAAAAAACTCAATCACCACTGACTCCAACTAGCAATCTCATCCTCATGGCCAAGGACTGAAGGGGAGATGTAACCACCCCCTCTCATTCCAGGCAGAACTGAAGCACATTTGCAGTAGGAAACTTGTATGTTGTACCTTTTCCGTGCATGATCAGTACTCTGGAGCAGCCCCTGCTCACAGTGGGGGTGGGGAGTAGGATGTTCTAGTTCAGCGGTGGGTTGTGGGGGAACACTCCAGCTAGTAGTCCCCTCTCCACTTGCTCCAGGTGGGGAGTAGGATGTTCTAGTTCAGCAGTGGGTTGTGGGGGGACACTCCAGCTAGTAGTCCCCTCTCCGCTTGCTCCCCTTTATTTGGTTAACCAGTTAAACAATGTTTAACTCTTTAGCCAATTACATGGGATTTTTCACCCCTAATCTGATTGTGGCTAGAATGTATAATGTAATTCAATAGCAATGGAATACAGAATGTAGGATCCTTGGTCCAAGCAAGCTGTATATCAAAGAACCTTAAAGGAGTAGCTCTTTGCATTTCAAACAATTTGTTTAGGGCCAAATCCTGGTCACATGAATGCTAGGAGCAAAACTTTTACCAAGTTGCACAGGAATAGTATTGGTCCTTAACATATCACATGCTCCATGTCAAAACTAGAAATCCAAAAATGTCTGTTCTACTTAGCCTGGATAAACATTTAGAAACTACTTTTAGTAAAATATCCTTAACTCATTTACATTGTTTTTTTTAAAATAGCTTCTGCTTCATGACCCAATTAGGTGATTATACAACTTACGAGAATCAAAATGAAATATTTAATTAAACTGAAGGTTTTTCCTAATCAAATGTTGATTCTGCAAAGAGAATGCTTGTAAGTGTTGCAGTTTGAGACCATTGTTTCAAAAAAGGCTAATATCCTGATAATACATCTGTAAGCTTTGTACAGTACATATATAATACATTTGATTTGAGAACAGATGGTCAGAAGAGAGAAAGAGTGAGAGTGATTGACCAAAGGATCAGATCTTTTTTCTCTCTTCTATATGTACACGTGTAGGAATTCTGAGCCTTAGGTAGGTTTTAGAAGGGGTGGCAGGAGACATCTGAAATACCAGAATCTCCCTCCCGTCCCCCCCATGAGTCCATAAACTGGAGACTTAGTAATAATTTTTATAAACTGTCAGACTGGAAATAAAACTTTGCATAATGGACCTTCCACTTCATCCCTTCCCTCCTACCCCTCTCCCAAAGTGAATACAAACAGTACACTAATCTCTACTTATTATAAAAGTACATTTGCTTAACAAAAGAGACTCAGTCATAAACGTACACGCTTGTCAATCTGAAATTCCACCGAGTACCATTAAATAATAATGTTCCATACATCTGAATTGCAGTTCTGTTCTCCCTGCTTTCAAAGATGGCTTACATATGTGCACACTACAGAACAGGAATTTTGTATAACAGAGGCCTGATTCACATGAAAACAAAGCTGAAACATGTGGAATGCATTCAGTATAAAGAGCACCACATTTTCTATAGCATAGACAGCATGGGCACAGGAAGCTGGTACTTAATCACAAGTGGATACAAATGTACTATGGCCAACTAAAGGAATGGTTAAACAAATCAATATCCTAGACAACACAACATTAGAAAAAGCCAAACCACCATACTCACTAAATAACAAAGGAAATGCCAAAACCACCTCCCTAGTGTATGAATGACAAAGCCAGAACCAGTTGCAGGAAGAATGCTGTCAAGACCTTGGCTTCTGCATCTCAGAAATAAGTCCAGAAGAGAGGAGACAGGCTGTTTTCCTCCTATGCAGTCTCTGCTTATTTCATTTTCATGACAATATTATTGAATCCCCACAACCTCTTCCCACAAGGAAACTTTGTTAAAAAGAAGAAAAAACACAGGTGAAGTTGCTAAGTGACGTTTTGCAACATATTACATATCACACAATCATGTATATATCCCAGAGAATCTCATCTGCTACTAGCATGGAAAACAAATCCATTGCACTTATCAAATGTAAGAAAGGGCTTTACAACTCTGACTATTTCTAAGAAATGTGTTTGTTTTTAAAAGGGAATAGGGGAGAAATTAATAACCATCATTATACAACAGCCATGAGTGTATGACAGCTATAGTCACTAATGTAATCATTTCTGGACAACATTATTTAGTCAATAGAGGGAGAATGTGCATGATGAAATTTCAGATGTTTTCTGAAGGGTAGTTGTCATCTTTACAAAGTATATTAACATATATATATGAATGAATATATATATATTAAGTTTTTTTCTATTACAGGAGGAGGATAGATGCATTAAAAACTTAATCAGCTTCTTGTTTGTTAAATAATCATTTGTTTGGAATTGAAAAAAAATGAATTAAAGACATAGCTCACAGTGAATAGAGTACTAAATCTGTTCCAAATTCTAAATGTGAAAATTAGCAAGTGAATCTTTCCACTGACTTCAAAGAGCTTGGATCAGTCCCTTAAAGGAAACTGAGTTTCTGTTAGAAAAATGCAAGAAAGCAAGGGAGGCTAAACAGGAGCTTCTGACATCACCTGAAAGGCATATTGTCCATTAAGGAATTGTAGAGGATATAGAACTTATTTTTGCCAAATCTTCAGTAGCAATGTAAACTATACTGTTGCATAGCACATTCACCTATGATGCTTTTTCTCTGGGAGTATGTCTACACTACAGAGGGTTTTTTTCAGAAAAACGGTAGTTTTTCCAAAAAAACCCTTGAGTTACGTGCACACTGCAATTGCGTTCTTTTGAAAAAAAATTGAAAGACCAGAGGTTTTTTTTCCAGCATTGGTAATCCTCTTTCTACGAGGAAGAAGCCTTTTACCAAAAGAGCTCTTTCGGGAAAAGGTATGTGTGGATGGGGAAGAGGGAGTTCTTTCAGAAGAAGAGTAAAGAGTAAAAAGCCAGGTGCCCTGGTAGCCACTCAGTCATAGTAATCACAGTTTAAGTGCAAGATAGCGTCCATTCAGTGTCCATGCACTTTCGCAGTGTGAATATGCTCTTTTGGAAGCAGTTTTTTCGGAAGCCCTCTTCCAGAAAAGCTTCTTCTGAAAGGAGCCTGCAGTCCAGACATAACCTGGGGAGCGCTGTGGTCATTCTCTCTGCCTATATGTTAGGCATCTTTACCTGTACATTTCCTTGTTTATATCATTTAAACAAAAATAAACCTATCCTTTCACTCCTCCCACCAGTACAATGCGACTTCAAAGTTTTTCAGTGGAAAAGGAGTAGTGTTCATTCTAGAGCTAAACATATTCATGTTAAAAATGCACTATATTGTGTGGCACCTACCACTTGCCTCCCACATGGCACCTCTAATGATGATGATAATCATCCTTTGTGAATCTGCATTGTCTTCTGGTTATCCTAATGCAGATGCTCCCTCTACAGGTCAGGTCAAGATTTAAAAAAAAAAAAAATTTAAGTAAGCACATGTAGACTGAAATGTTCTAACAGGTACCCTGTTAGCTGAACTTTGTCTGTGAACTCCATAGAACTATCACAGGTTTTTAGTTCCTCTAAAAGTACAGTGTCTTTCTTTCATTCCCTTGCCTTTGTGCATGCACGCAGAGTTACATTCAGATTATAAGTTTTAAAACAAAATTATTTATACAACTTAATTCATAATTTTTTGTTTCAGTTATTCACTCCATATGAGCACTCCCTTTCTACAAAATCTTTTTTTTTCAAACCAGCATTGCATTTTCCAGTGATGATCTGCTAATCTGTTAGGGTGCGTCTACACAGCACCGTAACTCGAAATAAGATACACAATTTGAGCTACGCAAATTGTGCATCTTATTTCGATGCTATTTCAAAATAGATTATTTCATTATTTGGCACTGTCTACACAGCACCAAATTTCAAAATAAAGCACTATTCCGAGATGTCCCTTACTTCTCATAGAATGAGGTTTACGGGGGCATCAGAATAGCAAGCTCAAAATAACAGGCTTGCTGTGAAGTCACGGAATAGCTATTTCGGGATACTCCGGTATCCCAAAATAGCATTGCAGTGTAGACGAACCCTTAGCTATTTTGTCATTTTTACAATGATGTCTTATGCTGAAAAGACAGCTAAAATAAGACTCAGAATTCCTAACTGCTAAATAAAACCTTGCAAACACTTACCTTTCCTTCTCTTATAAGGTAGTAAGAACTACAAAGAAGTACTGTTGCTCTCAGGATAAATATATCTTTGTGATTCAGAAACAGACTAATGAAGAACATTTACAATATCCATCAGTAAAAAGGATTCCTTGCAAAAAGAAAAGAGGATGTGTATAATTCACCTTTAGTTTCAGAATAGGTACATCACTGGCTATATAAGGGTATAAATGCCCACCAGTGTGTTTCCAGTCTGTCCTGCAGAGTTTCCCAGTAGAAAGTGAAAAGGTGGTAAAAGTATTCTTCAAGTCTATTCATTTCTATGTAACAAACAAAACAGCAAATCATGACCAGCTGTAATGATGATGTTGGTGATGTCTACCTTTGTCAGTTAGGAACTGAATTGAGACCAAAAAATTTTAGTTAAGGCTCTGAACAGCTGACAGATGCAAAGGCACCTTTGCAGGAGGGTAGTGAGGGGCTGCAACTGTGCATACTCTGATGCTTGCTCTTCCCGTTTTCCTGACTACCAAGGAGCGAGGGGAAAGTACCTAGCTTGGGTGTGTCTACACTGCACCCATGCTCGAAATAAGCTACGCAATTTGAGCTACACAAACTGTGTACTTATTTCGAGTCAATTTCAAAATAGGTTATTTCAAAATTTGGCACTGTCAAATTTTATGTTTACGCAGTATTTATTTTGAAATAAATCACTATTCTGAACCGTCCCTTACTGCTTGTGGAATGAGGTTTACAGAGACATCAGAATAATGAGCCCGTTATATTTCAAAATAACGAGTGCACTCAAAAGACATGGAATAGCTATTTTGGGATACCACTGGTATCCTAAAATAGCACTGCTGTGTAAACATAGCCCTTGAGTGCATTTCTCTCACTTCTGGCTAGTGAGGAGAGGGGGCAGAGGAGTTCCTGTACCTGGAATCCTGTGCAGATACAAAATTTGCATTCACAGCTGCAAAATGAGCCGCAGCTATCTGCATTGACATCTGGGATGTGGATACTTGCAGATATAAAGTGGATATCTAAGAATCTGCAGGGTTCTAGATACAAAAATTGCATCTGCATCCTCATCCATGTCCATCCTAATTGGCTGCAGATATCTGCATTCACATTTGTGCATGTAGATACCTGCGGATATAAAGCAGATATCCGTGGAATTGCAGGGCTCTCTGTACCCACTTATGCATGTGATAAATTCCATTGAGCTCAGGGGGGATGACAAAGATGTATGCTGACAAAGATGACTCACATGACTGTGTTTTGGCATATAATACTTCTGACTCCATTCCCTGTTAGGTTTTATGAATAAGTATTCCCATTGTGGTTTTTTAATCTTTAATAGAATTCTTTGATTTATATATGTTTTAAGACAATGTATAAATTTGACTGACTGTCTCATCCTGGATTTTTTCTGGAATGTATAATACATGAAATACAATACTAATGTTCTAAATGAAAGGATGGTCTCTACCTCAAGTAGATCAGCTCACAAGTTACTACATAGTAAATTATTATGTCTTTCTTTTTAGGGAGAGCTTGGAGCAAGGGGATTGCCAGGACCTTCTGGGCCTAGGGGAATAGGAATACTTGGTCCAAAGGTTTGTACAAGCCCATTTTATAGATCTGTAATCTTTATGCCTGAATCCTGACACTAATCTCTCCTACACTGGTGTAGCAACTTTAACTACTGGATTTGCACTGGCACAACTGAAATCAGAATCATGCCTAAAAAATAAAGACCCTGATCCTGTATCCACTTATATATGTGATGAATCCCATTTTTCTCCGTGGGCCTACTCATGTGATTAAAGTTAAGCGTACATGCACGCCTGGCAGCCCCAAAAGGTTGGGGACCACTGCTCTAGCTGGTACTGCGGGCTGGTTATCCCTAACCTGCCCATTCTGCCTGATGCCCTGGCCCTTCCATGAGCATGGAGCTGCCCCCCCCGCCCACTTGGCCCAGGGGCACGGCAAGGCTGTGGGCCACCCTGACAAGGGCTGTTCTCTCCCTACTCCCCTGGGGGTTCTCAACACCCTAAAGAGGGCAGGGAGGATGTAATGCTGTAACTCTGCAGAGTGGGGCACCAGACATACAGCCTCTGTGCTCCTGGAAGTTCTGGAGGACACAGGGAATCTGTGGCTCTCAACTACACCTCACCTACCAACTATGAACTGAATACGAGATCATGGGTATCGTTTGCTATGTTTTCAATTTGATGTGTCTCAGGCCCCCCCAGATGTGGCACAATAGGTGTACCTGGAGACGTGCCACACAATATGCTAATATGCATGACAGCCTACAGTTGGGCTTACAGAGAATCTGATGTCTCCACTGCTTTGCCCTTTGTGTGTTCAGTTCCACAAGAGCAAGCGTACAATGCTGCCCTGTCAGAAGGTTTTATGCCCACTTTGGGCAGGCATAACTGACTACATAATGGGCAACACACTGGAAAATAAGTCTTGGCTTCATTGGCATAATTATTTATTTAATTTAAATATTTTTACCCCATCTCTCTATCTGAAATATTCGAGGAGGCTTACAAAAAAATGTTAAAACACAATACAAATATATATCAAAATTTAAAATACGAGACCCCAGAAGGACATAAAACCGACTAAAAGCATCTCGAGAGAAGGAACACACACACACAGACTCAAACACCAATAAAAACACAAGTAAAAAGGGTGGCTTTAGCCTGACACTGAAACAATGCTAACGTTGGCGTCACGCAAATATCCGAGGAAGAGAATTCGACAGCCTGGGAGCAAAAGCTGAGAAGGCCCTGTTCCACATAGATGTAAATCTTATCTTCATAAGTGGGGGAACACTGAGCAGAGCCTCCCCAGATGACCTCAATCCCCGGGCAGGTTCATATGGGAGAAGACGGTTCTTCACATACCCCGGACTCAACCCATTTAGGGCTTTATAGGTCATAACCAAGACCTTAAATTGTGCCTGGAAACATACCAGAAGTCAGCGCAGCTGCCTGAGCATTGGCATAATGTGCTCTGTATAATGAGGATTAGTTAAAACTCAAGCAGCTGCATTCTGGACCAATTCATTCTTTAAAACTTTGAGATGAGTTATCCCCTTGGTTACTGTGGTGAGTACTGGGTTTAAGTACCGAATTCAAGAATCACTTCAATGTAAACTGTTAACCAGAGGAAAATCAGGGCCAGAATCCCAGATCTAGTCTATACTGTGGTTTAAGTTGATGCAAGTTATGTTGCTCAGGGGTATAAAAAATATCACATACACTCCTGAGTGAAGTAGCTTACATTGACCTAATGTGGGGTCGACACTGCTCTACATCAGCAGGAAACACTCTCCCGTTGACTTTGCTTCCACCTCTGGTGGACATGAAGTACTGCAGTTGATGGGTGAGCACTCTGCCTTCAACTTATTTCATCCTCACCAGACCCACTAAACTGACACCACTGCATTGATTGAAGTGGTGCCAAGTTAGCATGCTAGTGTAGAGAAGTTCTTAGAGTTTTAAAATGCTTCTTATCTTACCTTTGCTTGTTCTTAGTGTTGATTGAGAGTCCTTAAACTAATTCTTCTCTCTGTGATGTACAATGCTTAACAGGGAGCTGTGGGACAGAAGGGTTTGCCAGGGCCACCTGGCCCTCAGGGGGACAGCATACAAGGAAGCAAGGTAACCAGTTTCAATATGTTTAGCAAGAGATCTATGTTTAAAATGGTCTTTTTGTTCTTTTTTTTAATGACAAAACTGTAAAACAGCATATTTCTATGTGCTAGAAAAGATCTAATCGGATTACCCTCTCACCCCCCAAAAAATGTTTGATCCATAAAAAAGGAGGAACGGAGACCTGGGATGGAATCCTGGTCCCATTGTTGTCAATGGGAAAACTCTAACTTCATTGGGGTTAAGACTGCAGCTCAGATTTTACTGCTTCTCCATGGCATTAATCCTGGTTTATGCTAGTGCAGTTCCATACCTCAGCTGGGAGTCACAACCTAGAATGGTCTCAGGCTGTCCCGGTACTTCTTTTTCCCTGTCACTTTACCAAAAAAAAAAAAAAAAGAAGAAGAAGAAGAAGAAGACGACTGCTACAACCCAGACCGGGGGAAAAATGGCAGAGAACACTTGGTATGACTTTAGAGCTAGTCTACACTAAAAGCACCACCTCAGCACAGCTGCACCACTGCAGTTGCACCACGCTAGTGTGTCGGATGAAGATGCTGTATGTCAACAGGAGACAGCGCTCTACTCCACGAGAGGCAGTAGCTACACTGGTGGAAAAGTTTTGACATAGGCCTGTTTATACCAGCACTTAGCTTGGTGGAAATTACGTAATTGTGCATACATTATATCCAAGCAAGTAATAGTGTAGACAAGCCCTCAGAATTCTCTAGCAACTGCTCTGCCTGACTCAGAATTGCTACTGACAAGTTGTAGAGAGAATGACATTCAGTCCTGTGTGGCCGCGGAGATGATCACTGTGTTTTGAAGCTAAAACCAGAAGCTTGGAAGTTTTAGTGAAAAACAAAATCTGCTGTGCCCTAGAGCCTAATCCTATAAATTGCTGAGGCCTCTGTCAGCTGCCCAGCTGACAAAATTGCAATGGAAGCCTAATATTTCAGGATCTGCAGTACCACAAATTGAGTAGGGCCTTCACGATAATTGTAAAAAGTAAAATATTCCTTGAGCATCATGCCCCTGAATGTTGGAAGTTTTAGTGAAAAACAAAATCTGCTGTGCCCTAGAGCCTAATCCTATAAATTGCTGAGGCCTCTGTCAGCTGCCCAGCTGACAAAATTGCAATGGAAGCCTAATATTTCAGGATCTGCAGTACCACAAATTGAGTAGGGCCTTCACGATAATTGTAAAAAGTAAAATATTCCTTGAGCATCATGCCCCTGAATGTTCCTCCACACCTTCCTCATCTAAGTGGGGGCTGGGGATGGAAATGGGGAAATTGTCCAGAGGCCTGGTGATTCAAAGGGGCATGGGGCTCCCAGCTTCTGTCACTGCTATTGTGGCAGCTGGAGCCCTGAATCCTTCAAATTGCTACCAGAGCATGCTCTGTGTGACTCTGAGGGGTGAGCAGGGTGTGGACTGCGTTCCAGCTGGTGTGGAGGGATGGCTGCCCCTGATTCCACCCAAGAGCCCAGACTTTTGGAAGTGCAGAGCCATCCCCCCCACTCCTCACCTTGTCCAAGAGTCCACGGAAGCCCCCCAGTTTGAAAACCTCTGGCCTAGAGATTAATAACAAACATGAGAAGCTCCAGGGAACGTAGTAAAATGAAATGCAAGAACTATGTGCATTAATAGAGTATTAGTGTTGCATAGCTAACATTTTTTGAAAACTCAGGTTTTTCCCACGGCAGAAATTTTGTTTGCTAGCCCTGCTCCAGTTTTAGTTTTTCTACAGATAAAGAATTTCAGTCCTAGTTCAGAGAGTTTGGAGCCAGAGGCAAAAAGAATGTCTAACAAATCCATGGTAACATGGCTAAAACCAGCAGTGTAGATGCAGCAGTAAAAGCTTCAGCACAAGCTACCAGTGTATGTACCCAGTGTACTTGTGCAACCTTTGCTGAAATGTGTGCTGCTGTGGCTACTTTGCTAATTTTAGCTAGCTAGTGTGGCTAGGTTTACTTGTGCTGCCATCACACTTTGGACTGCGGTGTAGATATACCCTCACGTGGCCAAATTGTCATTAGGCCTTAAAACTATTGGAGGCTATAGCAGCATTCCCTGTGGCTGTGGAAGCTGTGCTTTAAGTAAGACGAATTATTTCCTTTCTTTGGGGCTGTATTATAGAGACATCTGTTTATTATTGCTTTGGACTTTGTATGTAAACATTCCCATTATGTATCTTTGTGGCTGCTTTGCTGAGCCCTGGGATTGTTGGCTGAATTTTGCACGATGGCTCAGTCAAAAAATATTAACATTAAGCAGAACAGGAAGGTTTGTGATCTTTATAGCTGTAATGGATTTGCTATACATTCAGGAATCCACAGGTTACTAAAACTTACAGTTTTTAATATCCAGTTTCCATGGTGGCAGTTATATTGAAAAAAGTGCCACTATCACAAAGCATTTTAACAAGCAAGGCAACTGATGCACAATAGTCAACCCCTGTTTTATGAAAAAATATTGTGGGATCTTCAGTGTACAGATTGAATCTGCAAATCCAAACCCATTCATTATTATTGCTTCTAAGAGCAGCACTTTTCAAATATTAGTGACATTACCTAAGGCAAAGCTCTGTCTTTTTCTACGACACAGAATGTTACTACGTGAATTTATCGTTTCCATAATTTAATTTCACTTTCAGTTAAATTTACTCTCCATATTGTATTCAGGGAGAACGAGGAGTTCCAGGTTTACCAGGACCTAGGGGTTCAGAGGGATATGGTCTCCCTGGCCCAAAGGTAAATCCTAGCCTCTGTATTAATAAAATATTTTTTCTTATTATATGTGCCTGGTTCTATGCAGATAAACAAAAGACCAACTCTTAAAGAGAACCTGTGGTCTGAAGGCCTGATCCTGCAAACACATAGGGCATGGCTACACTTGAACTTGAGTTGACCAATGTTTGGTCAACATGTGGCCACCACAGTAATTACTGCAGTGGCTCATGTCCACACTGCCCTCCTTCCATTGGTGGCATGCACCCTCATCAGAAGCATGTCCACTGACTTAAAAGGGGCAATGTGAGTGGGAGAAGGCTAAGCTCCCTGCTAGTAGTGCAGCTCTCTGCTGGGAATGGGTCAAGCCCCTTACCCCATTTTCTCAGCTTCCCAGCCAAGCATGGCCAGTTGGGAATGGGGAGTTTGGGGAGGGGAAGGAGCCGGGCTCCCAGCCTGGAGATCTGTACCCAGTGTTCAGGTGGCTGTCCTATTTCCAGCACAAATCTGAGAAGCCTAGGGTGGCTGCCCCATTCTTGGTGGGAAGCCAAGAAGCCTGGTGTGGGCTTCTAATTTATACCAGTTTGAGTGAGAGCTAATCAGATCCAGAGTGTGTGTGTTGCATCATATCATCAATTTAGTAAAAGGGAAAAGCATCTGACACTCTAAAACCATTTCATTCTGCACACAGAATCAAACTGTGGCACATCCTGCAGATGCCAATAAGGTCCCATGGGTTGGGTGATTGGGTTAGGGGGCACTGACATTCACAGTACTACCAGGAGGTTTCTAGGGCCTGACATTGCATAGGCTGGCACCGATTTTGCCTACAGCTATAGGGAGCTGCTCTATCCCTATCTTGCAGAAATTGCTAATTCAGATCCTTAACATTCTAGTAGTACCTTTCCATTTGAAACACAATATTAGGGCTGATTCTGCCTGGCTCATATTTGAAATGAATGGGACTACTCACTTGTATAAGGGATGCATAAGTTGGCCCTAAATGAGAAGATGCATATTTCATACAGATGTAGCACAATCAGTCTCTGCTGCCCCCATAGAGTGACCAATGCTAAATGGTGGACCATATTTACAGCTGGTGTAAATGATCTATAAATGCATTGACAGTATCTCAGATGGATTGGTAGTGTTCTTCCATGAGTAGGTATGGAGGACATATGCTAGCGCAAAGAACACAAGTTCCAATAGTGTGTGTCTAGCACTTCTCTACTCTGCTGTATTTTATTAGGGAGATTATGGGGAGAAAGGTGATCCAGGAAAAAAAGGTGACAAAGGAGATATTGGAGAACCTGGACCTGCAGGACCAAAGGTAAAACATCCTCTTTTACATTATTTAATTTTACTGAATGCAAATGAGACAAACTTGCATTTATTAATTGATCTCATTCTACAAATTCTTAGGGGCTTATGGGAAGAAAAGGTGAACTTGGTCTTTCTGTAAGTATGTACATTAATTGATTTACAACAGACAAGAATTTACCCTGTGCTTGTTTTGTTAATTTGAAGAAATTCTGATCCTGCTGCTACAGAGTTTGACTAACTCACTATAAGTTGGGCTGACTCATAATTCAGAGACACGCTGGCGGTACATTATCAATACATATGAAAGAACATAAATTTCACCAGAGTTGATAATCTTATTGGTGGAATGAGTGACACAGACGGGTTCTGCTGTCCGGTTGCCATGCTTGTTGCTGGTTGGGATGATGGAAAGACTTTGCTAATGACATCACTTCCTGAAGAATCTGCAGAGGCCAAACATGGAGAATTTCAAAACCTTTTCATGTGACAGAAGCAGACTTGCCCTGTATGCAATTTGCTGAAAATGCACAATGGGGTAGATAGAAATGTATACAGGAACAACTAGGCTATGTCTACACTGGCATCCCTTCCGGAAAAGGGATGCTAATGTAGCACGTTGGAATAGGCAAATCCGCGGGGGATTTAAATATCCCCCGCGGCATTTGCATTAACATGGCTGCCGCTTTTTTCCGGCTTGGAGATAAGCTGGAGAAAAGCACCAGTCTAGGCGTGATTCTCCGGAAAATAAAGCCTTTTCCAGAGGATCTCTTATTCCTACTTGAAAGGAATTTATTTTCCGGAGAATCACGTCTAGACTGGCGCTTTTCTCCGGCTTATCTCCAAGCCGGAAAAAAGCGGCAGCCATGTTAATGCAAATGCCACAGGGAATATTTAAATCCCCCGTGGATTTGCCTATTCCAATGTGCTACATTAGCATCCCTTTTCCGGAAGGGATGCCAGTGTAGACACAGCCCTAGGGTATGTAATAATGACCTTTCTTCATCGAGTGATGTCCCTGTGGGTGCTCCACTGTAGGTGCTGGGCTTCTCCCAGGGCTGCAGGTCGGAGACTTGTCCATAATGGTATCCATCTGGATGGCGCATGCATGAAGGGTGTCACATGGCATTCACACTCTTTTGCACACGCGCGCGCGGTCCAGTTCCTGCCATTTCCTTTCAACCAACTCAGGCTGCGGACGGAGTGAATCAGTCTCCTCAAACTTTTCCTAATTTGTGAGAGTGTTCAAACTTGTTAATAGTTTTCATAGTATTATAGTTAATAATTATTAGTTACTTTGCTAATATCTTCATTTGCTGTTGAAGAAAGGAAGAGGTTTTTTTTGTTACGTAGATAGTTACATAAGGTTTTCATAGATATATAGATAAATATCTTCTCCTTTTCCTTCGGTTTGAGGACTTAGGGTTTGTTTGTTTTTTTTAAACAAACTGAAGAACAACCTTTAAAATGCCCGGCTCCCTGGATTTTAAAAAGTGTGACATATGTTGCGAAGCAACGCCCGCATCTGGCGGGCATTCGGCTTGTATTAGCTGTCTCGGTGAAGCTCATGTTCCACAAAAGTGCTCTCGTAGTAAATTAATGGCAAAGGCCCGCCAAGATAGGGAGATGAGGCTGCAAATGATCCTTTTCAATAAGGCTCTCTAGCCAACCGGATCAGATTCCACAGCCACATGTTATGCAGATTTTTTTAAGAACAGCTAACTGATTTCAATTAGGAGTGCTGGTTAAAACTGATGGCATTGTATAGCTTTCTGTCAGACATTTATGAGTCCCAGCCACTTAATAATGATTTCAAAGTGCAATATAATTTGCTTTACAAAACAAGCAAAACTGAAATAAAAGGGACAGGAGGTTTTGGAAATGCAGTAGCAGCTCAAACAAAAGAAAAACATGCCCCAGCATTAGAATAAACATAATACTTTCATGGATACTCTTTTTCAGAAAGAAGAAATTATCAGACTTATCATGGAAATATGTGGTAAGATCTATGTTATAGAAAAGAAATAAGTTTCATTAAAACACATTGAATCTACTTTGGTGGAAAGGATACAAGTGAAGCCTGCATGTGTAAGGATCTCAGTTATAATGGAACACATGTACAGTGTCAGCAGTAAAAGTAAATGAAGTTGGGTGGAGGTTATGATTTTCAGCTGAGAAGTAAGCACATCATATGGGCCAGTAATAGGAATTCTGCATATCAAAAGGAAATCCAGCGGAGCTCACAGTGGAAATATAAGCCAGCCAGAGGCTGTATCGTATGTCCTGAGACACTATCTGAGCAGCATGAAAATGGTTCTGGGGGCAGACACCAGCTGAGGCAGTACTTACAGCATAGCCATGCTGCCGGGGAAGGGAGAAAAGGATGAGAGATGGGGGCACCAAAGGAAGAGAAAATGAAAGAGGAAACACCAGGGCCCAGAGCTTCTGCATATCTCAGGGTTTGTGGGAAAGCCATCCAAGAACCTGCTCTCTACACAAAAACTGCTTTTGAAAGAGAGCATCCACACACAAAAGCATATCAGAAAAGTGATCTGCTTTTTCGAAAGATAGCGCCCAGACTGACTGGACACTCTCTCGCATAAAAGGACACCTGGAACCACTTCAGGCAGGGCTTTAGGTCACCAGTTACTTCTGAGCCTTGCAGAGACATGTGCTTAAAGGGACCACATTGGACAACCATTTCTCTGCTTCTGCTGCCTGCTTGCCTACCTCTTCGAGGGACAGCAAAGCTCTTGCAGTGCCTGTTGTGGTTGCCTTGCTTTTTTGGATGCCCCAGCTTTTGTCTTGGTGCCATGGAGCCGGAGCTGCTCCTGGGCATGCGATGGCCTCACGCGGCCATGCTGCAGTTTCTGCAGCACTTTGTGCCGGTTGCCTTCATGGTCCAGACCAATCTCAACCCTAAGCTCATTGTGGAGACCCCCTCCCTGGATGCGGGAGCTCCACTCTGGCAACTGTAACCAACTGTGAAGAGGTGTTTCTGGAGGCTGGACACCAGTTGTGACTGGTGGGACCAGCTGATCATGGAGCAGTGGGATAACCAGCAGTAGCGCCAAAATTTCTGCATGCAGAAGGCCACGTTTTTGGAGCTGTGTGCCTGTCTTGCCCCCACCCTCCGGAGATGCAACACCCATCTGTGGCCTGCCACTCCTTGCAGAAGCAGGTCACAATTGCCCTCTGGAAGCTTTGCACCTCTGACAGCTAGCGGTCGGTGGGCAACCAATTCAGCGTGGGGAAGTCCACCATCAGGGCCCTCCTTGCAAAGGTAAGACACTCTGGGGCTGCAGTCCCTGCTGGGCGGGTGGGGTGGCCTTATAGGGGGAAGGTTTGGGGGAGGGAATGGGAAAGGGGTGGGCACCTCCCAAGGGCTCAGGCACTACCTCTCATTCTCTGTTTTGTGTGTTTGTCTCCTTCTGCAGGTGGTGAGGGCCATCAACTCCATCCTCCTGTGCAGGGTCATCTGCCTTGGAGACCTGGACCTGATCATGGCTGGATTTGCTGCTCTGGGGTTCCTGAACTGTGCTGGAATCATAGATGGGACCCAAATACTGATCCAAGCACAAGAACACTGAGCAACCAAGTATATTAATAGGAAGGGCTACTTCTTGATGGTGCTGCAGGCCCTGAATGACCACTGTGGGCACTTCATGGACATTTTTGTTGGGTGGTTGGGCAGGGCACATGATGCCCATGTCTTTAGAAACTCAAGCCTCTATGATAAGCTGGAGGCGGGCACAATCTTCCCCCCCCCGCCGTGAACTTGCTGTTGGGAATGTGCATATGCCACTGTGCATCATGAGGGATGCAGCCTACCCCCTCATGCCATGGCTTATGAAACCCTATACTGGCCACCTGGACCCCAGCAGGGACCAATTTAATGCCCATAATTTAACCAGGCCTGGATCCAGGTGGAGTGCACCTTTGGACACTTCAAGACACATTTCAGGTGCCTGCTGACCCGACTCGACATGGCAGAGCACAACATCCCCGAGGTGGTGGCAGCATGTTGTGTCCTCCACAATGTTGTGGAGAGGAAGGGGGAGGCCTTCCTCCTGGGGTGGGGGCAGACGCCAGGCTCGAGGAGTGAACCTTCGAGCAGCTGAGGGCAGCTGCCATCCGCCAGGCCCATCAGCCAGGGTATGCATCCAGGAGGTTCTGAGGGAGAGGTTCTCTCAAAGACCTCAGTAACTCTCCCCAGAGCCTCCCCTCTAGGGGCCTCTGGCTTGCAGCCCTACCCCTTCCCCACCACAGCCCCTCCCTTTGCCCCTTCCCTGACCTCAGAATAAAGACATCGAGCAGCTGAGGGCAGCTGCCATCCGCCAGGCCCATCAGCCAGGGTATGCATCCAGGAGGTTCTGAGGGAGAGGTTCTCTCAAAGACCTCAGTAACTCTCCCCAGAGCCTCCCCTCTAGGGGCCTCTGGCTTGCAGCCCTACCCCTTCCCCACCACAGCCCCTCCCTTTGCCCCTTCCCTGACCTCAGAATAAAGACACCTGTTTGGTTTTGAACAAAATGAAGTCTGTATTTATCTTTCATTAAAAAAAGGTGGGCGGGGGAAGAGCTCATAACTTGGAGGGGGATGGAGGTAGCTAGATGTGCCACCTTGGGTATGGGGACCTCGTTGGAGTTGGGGTTGAGGTTGGGGTTGGGTGGGTCCACGGATCACAGGAAGGTGGGCAGCAGAGGGAGTTGGTAGGGGGTCAGGAATGGAAGGGGAGGGGGCTGAGGCATCACATAGGGGGTAGGGGTAGGGGGAATGGGCATAGCAGGGGGCAGGAGGTAGCCAGGAGCAGCAACATCAGGCCGGTGTGCCATCATGTCAGGCATGATGACACACATGCTGTCGCACTGCTGCATGAGTTGGTCCCATGCGCGGTTCTGCCACTCTTGAGTCCTTGCAGACCTTCTGCACCAGGGTCTCCTGCATGTCGTGCAGGCTGCAGACATGCTGGCACATGAGGTCTTCCTGGACCATGGCACACTTTTGGATCCCCTGAGCTCTGGTGGCTGGCTCTGGTGGTGTGGCTCGCCCCTCAGTCCCGGCTGTGGAGCATACAAAGAGGGAGAGTTGGTCAGTCATCCATGCACACACTGTCCCGGAGGCTGTGCCCTCCTCTGTGAGCAGCGACCAACAGTCCTTGGGGAAGAAAAGGGGGATGTCCCAGGAGCAAGGCCATGTGTGACCTGCACAGCAGGACCTGCTTCACAGGTGCCTCAAGTTGCCCAGGGGACCATGCTGCAAGCTTCCCCTCCCCCTAACACATAACCTCACCCACGGACAAGTAGGCAAGGGAAGTGTCCGGCCATAGTGGGATCCCCTCTGCCCCCGTGGCCAGACGAGTATGGCCTCCTCTGAGCCTGACAGCAGGATCCCACCCATGCTTAGTGGATGACTGCTGCACCTGTATGGTGCACAGTAACACTGCATGTGGTTCCGTGGGTGTGGACCACAGCACAATGTCCAGACCAAGCAGCCCGAGCAACACTCACACCCCACTCTCTGTGCACCAGCCTCCCCCCGCCCTGTGTGTATGACAAACTAAGTCAACTCACTTGAAGATCCCTCCCCAGCGTCTGACAAGGCCTAGGAGACATCCTGGCTCACAGGCATCGGCTCCAGAGACAGGGTGATGGTGTCCGTCTCCTGCTCCTCCTCCTGCTGACTCTGATCCCCCTGTTCCTCCTCTGCCATGACCTCCGGCTGGGTGACGATGGGGGTCTGGAGGCCGGAGTTGTCCACAACAGGTGGGGAAGATGTTTCCCCACCCCGCAGGATCTGGTGCAGCTCCTGGTAATAGGGGCAGGTGTAGGGTCCTGCCCCTGCGTGCGAGCTGCGCTCTCTGGCCCTGATGTATCCCTGGCAGACCTCGTTAACTTTACTCCAGACCTGTTTCATGTTCTGGGGTGGGTATCCGCAATCCACCAGGGATTTGGCCATGAGCTCAAAAATATTGGTGGTGTGCCACTTGGAGCAGAGATCCTGCAATGTCTCCTCCTCGCCCCACAGCTTGAGGAGGGACAGGATCTCTGCTCCAGACCAGGAGGGTCCCCGTGGGTGGGTCCTGGGACCCTTGGAGCTGCTCCCTGCGAGGGTCATGGAGATCTCGGGGGGCTTGTGGCTCTGCCATGGGTGGCAAGGCTTTTGGCAGTGAAAGCCATGCAGTGAGGTGCTGTTCTCAGGCTGACTTCCTGCTACAAGGCTTATCCGGGGTGCCTGCAGCTTTAAGAGGGGCCAGGAGACAGGAACTATAGCATTCTGATTACTTTGGACAGAGTGGCCACCAGGGCACCTGTGTTATTTCCTGGAGGCCTCCTCTTTCGGAAAAAAAACCCTCCTCCCCATCCACACACGCTTTTTTTCCAAAAGAGATTTTTCAGAAAAGGCTTCTTCCTCATAGAAAGAAGAGTACTGCTGTCGGGAAAACCCCTCTGTTCTTTTGATTTACTTTCGAAAGAACACGATAGTAGTGTGGACGTTACTCAAGCTTTGTTGGAAAAATGGTTGTTTTTCTGACAAAACTCTGTAGTGTAGACATACCCTCAGAATAATTAGGTTCAGAAAAAGATTTAGATAAATTCTTGGAGGTTTGGTTGATCAATGACTATAGCCAAGATGGTCACGCACTGAGTACCTCTAAACCTCTATTTGCCAGAAGCTGGAAGTAGATGATAGGGAATTGCCTGTTCTGTTCATTGCCTCTAAAGCATCTGGTACTGGCTACTGTCAGAAGACAGGATACTGGACCAAGTGGCCTGATTCTGTATAGCTGTTTGTATGTTCTAAAATATATTTAGTAGATGTTGGTTAAGTAGATATTGGATAAATAAACAAAACACAAACAAGAAATAAGAACACCTTCATTTAAAAAAAATGTAGAGATAAATACTTTAAAATTTGGGAAATCAGAATCTTCTACCCATTTCTCTCCATTCTATATCTGGCCTACAATTTCCTAGGAAAACTCAGTAACAATAGATTACTTTAGTTTTCTCTTTTCAGAAAAGTCACCTTGGCTAGAGGGATTTAGAATCTGATATATATTTTTTCAGCTGCATTCGTTGTGTAATTTGAAAGGGTATTTCTCATAAAATGTCTAAAATTGTTAATATTTTAGGTTGTGGCATCAAATGCAAAGAAACTCCACTGGAACTTGTATTTGTGATTGACAGCTCAGAAAGTGTTGGACCAGAAAACTTCAAAATTGTCAAAGATTTCGTGAAAGCACTCATTGACCGGGTAACAGTCAACCAAGCTACAGCCCGCATTGGCATTATCAACTTCAGCCACAAAGTAGAACTGGTATCGACTCTGCAGCAATACACAAGCAAAGACAAGCTGAAACTCGCTGTTGATAATATGCAGTACCTAGGGGAAGGCACTTACACAGCTACAGCTATCAACAAAGCCATTGAGATATTTCAGGTTGCACGACCTGGGGTAAGAAAAGTGGCTGTTGTAATAACCGATGGACAAGCTGATACTCGTGATCAATCATTAGATGTTGTAGTGAGGAATGCACATGCCATCAACATTGAGATATTTGTAATTGGGGTGGTTCAAAAGTCTGATCCCAACTATGAGGATTTTCTGAAAGAACTGGACCTCATTGCTACAGACCCTGACAGTGAACATGTTTACCAGATAGATGACTTCATCACACTGCCCGGTAAGAGAAACTACCTCTTTAATAGCACATTGCCTGGAATCAGGCCTTTGACATTGCAAGTGAAGCCAGTCAGTATATTTCTATGGCAAAGTGGCTTCCCCCTTACCTTCAGATGTAATTTGTTCCTCAGTTTCTCACTTGCTGTATATTAATCCTCTCACCAATCAAATCTTCATGGCTTCCAGGGTAAAGGAAAGTCCAATACAAACAATGAGAGTTCCCATTCACTTTTGTATTAGTTTTCAGATGATTTTCTGATTTACTTTTCAAGTCATCCTTCCTCTAATAAATTCACTGTTTCTCACAGGTAAATAAATCACTATGTAGCAGTTTTCATGACAACAGGCCCACTGACGGGGCAGGGGGCAGAGAGGGCAATTGCACTGGGTCCTGGCAATTCAAACAGGCCCAGGGCTCTAGCAGTGGTGGTGGCTGGAGCCCCAGGCCCTTTAAATAGCTGTCAAAACACCAGGTGTGCGTTCTGATGGCTCTGAAGGCTTGGGAGGGGGGTGAGCTGAAGACAGACTGGCACTGAGAGCTGGCTGCCCTGACCTTGCCCCTTCTGCCCAAGACCCTGCCCATCCAGGGGTGCAGAGTGACCCCCCCCCTTCCAGCCACACACACCTTGCCCAGGGGCCCATGGAGGTTGTTGGCTCCCCTGCCAGACAAACCAGTGACAGCCAACCAGATCCAGAGACACTGGAACAAGGGTTCTCAAACTGGAGTCATAAACGGGTATCAGGTGTCGTAACCACACTACTCTTTCCATATCGCTAAATGAGAGAGGGATCCCAGGTAGGTACTAAGGGTTTTCTGGGGGAAGCAGGTTGTGAACCACTGGATTATAGACTTCTCTTCGTTCATGTGTATGATCACTTTAGAGCAACTCTGGCAAATATTCCACTTACGCACTGAATTTCCTGTGAGAATCAGAAGTAAAATGTAGAAGTGTTTCAATCTCTCTCTTTCAAACACTAACTTATTCATGTTTTTCTTTCTGGACACTGGTCCAAGAAAAGTTTATTGGTCATGGAAACATTTGTGCTGTTTTAATTAAATGTTTCTAAAACTATCAAATGTTGCAGTTTAAAAATCAAATCACTCTGAAGATTACATTGTATTATTTCTTCAAATAGCAATTCTGACATGACCTTAGTAGCCAATATCTCATGAACCATTAGAATTAAAGATGTATGCCTTATACCACAATGCAAGTACAACTAGAATCAGGCTCCTAGTTTGTTTTTTTCTTTTGTTTGCCTACACAAACTTCCTATTTCTATTCATTTTTCAGCTCTAGAAAATAATCTCTTCAAACAAATTTGTGAGAATGACTCCAGCTCCATACTCACCAGAGTCTTCAGTTCAACTTCAACTCCTCACCCTGGATTTGAAACACGCAATGAACGTATTGATCAGTCTGGTAAAATTTCAACCCCAGAACTTTATGTCCATCCACCTACGCAAGAAACTGTCAATTTTGTAAGTAAAGCACAACTACTGATAATCTTTTAAAAGAAATATATATGCCTGTATTTACATTAAAATGTAATTTGTTACATTAATTTTATTTTTTGTAAGAAGCAACATGATCAAACCATGAATTCTTTCAATAGACAGAAGCAAGATTTGAAGAAAGGCTATTTAAAATCAGATATTGAACTTAATTATTAATAATTAAAAGCATCAGTTTACTAAAAGAAGTAAGCTGTTGGAATCTTAGAGCCAAGTGAGATCTGTAATACAGATATTTTGCAAAGGGTTTTCAAACTTTTCATAATATGGTGCATCTTAAAATTAACTTTGTGAGTGCCTCTACTTCCATTCACATTTATACAAATCACAGCCCCTTTGTGAATGCAACTACAACAATTTCTTACATAGAAAAGTACTATTAGAAAATACAGTTATGTAGAAATGAAAATATACGTAGCAAAGTACACGTGTATGCTAGAAAAGTATAGAACATGAAATTTACTCTTAAAGCAACATTTGAAAGAGACTTCAATCCAGCCTCTGTTTTTACACAAGCTGTTGAATGTGCACCCAATTTACATGCTTAATTAATTAAAATACTAGAACTGGAAGGGACCTTGAAAGGTCATTAAACTATGCCTTTTATGGAGGTGGAGTTAGTAAGCTCGCATAATGGGACAGTTAAGTTGAGGGGAGCAAAATGTTAGTATAGACACTTACATAGTTAGGACAATATAAGATGCCTTGTGTCAACCTGATGCTGTAACGTAGATCAAGCCATAGGTATTCCCCTCCCCACTGCCCGGCCAAGAGGCAGTACATGTAGTGCTGTCTACATTGCGGGGTTAGGTGGTTTGACTATATCATTCAAGGGTATGGATTTTCCACATTCATAAGTGATGTGGTTGTACCAATATAAGTAGCTAGTGTAGTCCAAGTCTGAGCAGCATGGCAACTCCGTGTGCCAGGTCACAATGCCTCTCTCTCAAATTTAGCCAACCCCACCCATCATGATGGAGGGGCAGCCAGCCACAATTTGTGTTGCACTATGGGAGGAGGGATGGGCATGCTGAAATGTTGCCTAGAGTGGCAGATTGTTTTCAGTGGTCTGATTTGGATATATGGAATGGTTTCCTTATTTTAAAACCTGTTTCTATAACATACTTGTGATGGTCTCAGAGAGATAGCCGTGTTAGTCTATAACTGAAAAAAAAACTTAAAAAATTATGAATAGCCCTGTAGCACCTTAGAGCCTAACAAAAAACATAGATAGTATCATGAATTTTGTGAGCACCACCCACTTCTCCAGATAAATGGAGCAAGGGGTCCAGAGGTACAAATAAATAGCAGAAAAAGAGGAGAGATAGGGAAGGAAAGGAAAAAAATCTTGTCAGTTAGAGTGTCCGTGTGAAATGAGGCTAATAAAGTGGGCTGTAAGTGCCCGATATGTAACTTTTGATGTCATTTTGGCATGGAATATAACAGCCCATCCAGTTCATGTAATGGGGATATGATAGAGGTATATAAAGTCATGAGTGGTGTCGAGAGGGTGAACAAAGAAAAGTTATTTATTAGTCCCTATAGTAAAAGAACTAGAGGACACCAAATGAAATTAATGGGTATCAGGTTTAAAACTAATAAAAAAAAGTTCTTCTTCGAGTGATGTCCCCGTGGGTGCTCCACTACAGGTGTCGGGCTCGTCTCGGCGCCGTAATCCGGAAAGTTTTCACCAGCAGTAGCCCCCTCCGGAGGACCGCGCATGCGCAGAGTGCCCCGCAGCGTTCGCGCCTTTTCTGCATCGCACGGTCCGACGCGCCAGTTCCTCCTAACCATCCACGGCCGCAGACGGACTTGGAACACGCTCCCCTCTGAGGAGAAATCGTATTGTTAATTCGTTCGTTCCTTCCTTCCCAGTTAGCCCCTTCCCTCATAGTTAATTAATTGGTATATTACTTAGTTAGTTCATAGTTAAAAAAAAAAAATTCTTTATTGTTCTCTTGCCGTAATGACCTCTGAGGACCAACAATGGTTAAGTATTTCAATATTGGGACTCTTGTCCCACCATTTGATCCTGCAAATAGATAGAAGACAAAATGAGTCTAGAATAGTTGGGGCATGGGTTAGTCCAGATGCTGGACAACAGGGAACTCCTTAAGATTTCTGGCCTGTACAGACCACAAGTCTATACCCTACACCTAAAGGCAGGTCCTTGGCACCTGTGCATTCTCCTCCCCTCCAAACTGAATGATGATAGGCTCATGGGCAGGAGAACGGGCTGAAGGAGAGGCACAGGACTTATTGGGCTTCCCTCCCAAATGGGTAGTGGACAAGTCAGCCAAAGCCCGTAGTACCTCAGCACCCAGTCCCGCACTTTCAGTGTGCTCAGCCACGTCAGGCCATCTGGAATCGACACCGTCATCCGTGGCACCGAGCCTCCGCACGGCACCGCAACCAGACACGGTGCGGTCTTCGGCACCGAGACACCCGGCACCGTTGTCCCATGCGGCACCGCAGCATACTTCCAGGGCGGACCCGGCACCGAGAGCCGACCTGGCATCGAAGTCCAAGCCGGCACCGAGGGCTAAGGAGCCAGCACCAACAAAGGACTTGACGGCAACCCAACCTCCTTCGAGACCTGGGGACGCAGCTTCGCCCCACATACAGAGCACGGCCGCAACGGCCCGCACGGAGCACACACTCTGTGCTGCCCCTCCTGCACACTCAGTTATCTCGGTGCCGACTTCTGTGGCACCGAGACACCAAAGCTCAGAGGACAAAATGGCACCACCATCTCCACACCGCCTGGAGGAGGTTTCTGACTCTGCCTCGGTCGTTTCGATTCCCGTGGCTCCCCCATCCACAGGGGTACCCACTATGGCGCAGAGGAAGACGCACCATCCCCGTACGCCTTCCCCCAGTCCTGACAGGGTGGCTTTTTCCCCTGAGCCATCGCTCTCACCTCGCCAAAGACGACGAGACCACCACCACGGCTATTCTTCCACACACCGTTATTACAGATCCTTATTACCTTGCTCAGAGGACAAAATGGCACCACCATCTCCACACCGCCTGGAGGAGGTTTCTGACTCTGCCTCGGTCGTTTCGATTCCCGTGGCTCCCCCATCCACAGGGGTACCCACTATTATAGGGGACAGTGATCATGAAATAATAGAGTTCATGATCTTAAGGAAAGGTAGAAGGGAGACCAGCACAATTGAGGTTATGGATTTCAGGAAGGCAGATTTTGATAAGCTCAGAGAACTTGTAGGTAAGGTCCCATGGGAAGCAAGACTGAAGGGAAAAACAACTGAGGAGAGTTGGAAGTATTTCAAAGGGACGTTGTTAAGGGCCCAAAAGCAAACAATTCCGCTGTGTAGGAAAGATAGAAAATATGGCAAAAGACCAGCTTGGCTTAACAAGGAGATCTTGCATGATCTCAAAATAAAAAAGGAGTCATATAAAAAATGGAAACTAGGACAACTAACAAAGGATGAATATAGGCAAGCAACACGGGAATGCAGGGGCAAGATTAGAAAGGCAAAGGCACAAAATGAGATCAAACTAGCTACAGGCATAAAGGGAAACAAGAAGACCTTTTATAAATACATTAAAAGCAAGAGGAAGACCAAGGACAGGGTAGGCCCACTGCTTAGTGAGGAGGGAGAAGCAGTAACAGGGAACTTGGAAATGGCGGAGATGCTCAATGACTTCTTTGTTTCGGTCTTCACCGAGAAGTCTGGAGGTGTGCCTAACGTAGTGAATACAAGCAGAGAGAGGGTAAGTTTAGAAGATAGGATACACAAAGAACAAGTTAAAAATCACTTAGGAAAGTTAGATGTCAGCAAGTCACCAGGTCCTGATGAAATGCATCCCAGGATACTCAAGGAGCTGATAGAGGAGGTATCTGAGCCTTTAGCTATGATCTTTGAAAAATCATGGCAGACAGGGGAGATTCCAGAAGACTGGAAAAGGGCAAATATTGTGCCCATCTATAAAAAGGGGAATAAGAACAACCCAGGAAATTATAGACCGGTCAGTTTAACGTCTGTCCCAGGGAAGATAATGGAGCAGGTAATTAAGGAAATCATATGCAAACACTTGGAAGGTAATAAAGTGATAGGGAATAGCCAGCATGGGTTTGTGAAGAACAAGTCATGCCAAACTAATCTGATAGCTTTCTTTGATAGGATAACGAGCCTTGTGGATAAGGGAGAAGCGGTGGATGTCATATACCTAGACTTTAGTAAGGCATTTGATACGGTCTCGCATGATATTCTTATTGATAAACTAGGCAAATATAACTTAGATAGGGCCACGATAAGGTGGGTGCATAATTGGCTGGATAACCGTAGTCAGAGAGTTGTTGTTAACGGTTCTAAATCCTGCTGGAAAGGGATAACAAGTGGAGTTCCTCAAGGGTCTGTTTTGGGACCCGTACTGTTCAATATCTTCATCAATGATGTAGATATTGGGATAGAGAGTACTCTTATTAAGTTTGCAGATGATACCAAACTGGGTGGGGTTGCAACTTCTTTGGAGGATAGGGACATAATTCAGAATGACCTTAGCAAGTTAGAGAAATGGTCAGAGGTAAACAGGATGAGGTTTAATAAGGAGAAATGCAGAGTGCTCCACTTAGGAAGGAACAATCAGTTCCATACATACAAGATGGGAAGCGACTGTCTAGGAAGGAGCATGGCGGAAAGGGATCTAGGGGTCATAGTGGACCACAAGTTGAATATGAGTCAACAGTGTGATGCTGTTGCCAAAAAAGCAAATATGATTCTAGGTTGTATTAACAGGTGTGTTGTAAGCAAAACTCGTGAAGTCATTCTGCCGCTCTACTCTGCACTAGTTAGGCCTCAGCTGGAGTACTGTGTCCAGTTCTGGGCGCCACATTTCAAGAAAGATGTGGAGAAATTGGAAAGGGTACAGAGAAGAGTGACAAGAATGATTAAAGGTTTAGAGAACATGACCTATGAAGCCAGGCTTCGTGAACTGGGCTT